AATGCAAACTTATGACAGCGCTGCCATGATGTCTGGTGAATTGAATGGTCTCCAGGCAAAAGTTAAAACTATTGCACCGTAAGCTTTATTCACTCATTGTCATACGCACAGAATGAATTTAGTTTTGCAGGATACATGTAAAAAAAATTAAAGAATTTCATCTTTTTTTTGTCAGTTTAAGTGGATTTGTTTCATGTTTCTCAAGCTCGCCTAAACGGACTAATGTTTTAGAACAATTTGTTTTGAAAAAAATGCTAACAGTTTGTCAGACGCGATGGAATTTTAAATCTCGGTTAGTTTTTAATGTAGCAGATTTTCGTGAACGTCTTTTGGAAGTTTTTGATTTTATTATTGAATGCGACGATTTTGAAAGTGATGATATCTCGATCCGTGAAACAATCGGTTTGAAAACTTTAATTAAATGATTACTCTTTTAGCATACTTTTAAATATTTTTGATATTCAATTCCAATTCCAAATCCAAACCGATTTGATATTCAATGTTGTTCAAAATCAGTTAACTGACATTATTCATTCCAAAAATAGAATAACAAGACTGGTGCAAAATCTCAGAGATTTTCGTAATGATAGTAATTTCCAGTATATATTCAGTGACGTTTTGGACTCGCTTGATGTCCTGCTTGACAAACCTCCCAAAAAAAAACAAAACCATGACACAGACACAAATCTCGAGAAACGAGTATGTTTTGAAATTTTGGATACTATTTTTATGCAAATAGATACTCGTTTTTCGAATTTTGAAAATTTGCAAATTTGTGACCTCTTTGACGATTCAAAATTTAAAAGTTACGCCAAGGAATTTCCAAGATATTTATTAAACAGGTTAATTAAAAATTATCCATCATTCTTTAATAAAATAAAATTGGAAAATGAATTAAACGTTTTATATGCTGATACAAATATTTTAATGTAATATGACAAATAAACGAGATTTCTTTTGTCTCAAAAGAATCAAAACGTATTGTCGAAACACCATGAAACAAGAGAGAATGCCATGCTCGTCTCAAATGTCACTAGAAAAAAAAACTTTTACAATCTCTCCAAAATTCTAATAAATTTTATGATGATGTTATAACCCATTTTGCTACTTCCAAACAACGTAGACTAGAGTCATTTTATTAGACGGTATACTTATCTGAGGAGACAAAAAACCTTGCCGACCTTGTCTATAAAGCCACGAGCCGCCACTGCGATATAATATACAACAGGGATAGAAAATAACATTTTCAATTTTCAAGATTCTTCTCGGAAGTGCAGTGGGCAGAGCCGTCAAATTACGGAATGAAAACTCAGCCAATTTGCAAGGATTTTTTTTTTAAACATAAATTATCATGTTCATTTGATATGTATTCGGTGGAAGTACCCTAATCCAGGGTTGCCAGGTGAAAATTTTTGTCCTCCCTAAATTGAACATTTAAATATCCCTAGAAATCCCTAGATTGGAATAAATGTATATATGGTTGCCTATTTCTGAATAAAATTATGGGATGTATTGATAGTTGCCTAATATAATAACATTGATATAAAAAAATTGTTATACCCGGTTCGCTATTCCCAGTCCGAACTGTGTAGTGATTTTAGTAATTATTTTTTTGCGAAGTTAGTTACTTTTTGACAGACTCGAAGTGGCTGGAAATTACTATACAACCAAGCATACGTGCTCTTAGTCAATATTAATGTAAACAAAAGTAAATAAAATAGAACTTTGCCGATAATCAATATTTATTTATTTACACCGTATAATTTATTGATAGCAAATAATAAAATTATTTATTGTACAAAATAAAAAAAGTGGGAATAAATTCTACAAAATTAAAAAGTCAAAGTGAGGTTAAATAAGACAGCAAGTTCCTTATGTTGTGACTAGGATGGAATCAATGATTAAAGATTAACAGTTCATTGGATAGCATTAACATAAACTGTTGTTTTATTATCTTACAAAATAAGTGTACTTCCATATGCTAAAAGCAAATATTAGTAATTTGACTACGCAAATTCGTGGTTCAATAGTAATTTTTGCTCATTAGCATTTGAGGATGTTAAAATCTTCCACATGTGAATGAATTCAGTGTCCTGGCCGTAGTCTGCAGCCATATAAACCCAAACAAACAACAAAAACCTCCATGTAAGTATAAACAAGTTTATATTAAATTAGAAACAACTAATCTAAAAATATTAACTTTTAAAAAACATTTTATCATATTTATTAAGAAAAACTTACCAACGCCTTAGCTGATGGAACAAATGGAAAACTTTGACTATCCATAATAATAAAATTTAAAATATAACTAACTAATTAACTGAATAGAACTAACAAAAGAATTAAACAAAGATAATAAAACAATAAAACTATATTAAATTAAGTAAACAACGCGAATAATACAAATATTTACTACAATATTTTAAATTGTAACAATTCAAATATTATATTTATACAGGGAAAATTTGATGGGTTTAGTATACACCTCCACTATTTAGAATAATTCTTCTTTTTTTCAAAGAAAGAAGTCTGCAATAGTAGTATACTTGAGTTATTAATACTGAGAAGTAGGAATTGTTGTGTTGTAGGTTTCCGACAATGAGTCTGTCAAAATATGCCCTAGCTAAGCGAATAGACAATAATATTGTACCTTTATTTCATAAACAGTACAGTAGCCATCATTTGAATAAATTTAACAAAAACGGAATAACGTACGTATTCTTTACATATTTACTTGATAAAATTAATACAAAATACAACTTGAAGAGAAATGAAACGGTGAAGCATAGAATTTTATTTATTGATTTTCACGAATCCTGTAAATCACCCGATTCCTACTGTAAATCCCCTAATTATTTATTTTATAAAAGCTAGGACTTTTGTAAATCCCCTAATTCCAGCTCCAGAATTTGCTTCTTTCTGAAAATATATAGGAATCTACTTTTGACAGAAATCTATTTGGTAGTATAAAATAAAGATTCCAAGAACGTGGACAGTTAGCGACATCTGATAATAGAATCTTTAAGTAGTTTACTGTTAGTTTAATTAGTTGTAATGAAAGATCGTGTATTTAATACTGTTAATACGAAGTGGTTTTATACCTGAATTAAAGAAAATGTTATTATAATAGGTCTACGTGGGTAAATATTTGAGCCGGTTAAAAATCCCTAGATTTTACACTAAATATCAAAAAAATCCCTTTGTCCCTTTTATACTGAAATATCCCTAGATTCGGGATAAATCCCTAGACCTGGCAGCCTTGCCCTAATCGCTTGAATATGATAATCGACACTTTGTAAATCCAATGAAGTCGACTTTACTAACAAGACAAATAAACATTTCACACAAAATTATTATTCTGCTAATACCATTCGTGGTTGATAGGTGAAATTTTAAAAAAATCAACCTAAACAATTATCAAACATCGGCAGCAGATGAATTATTTAAAAAGTGTGTAAATTTGTGTTATGAAATGTTGTAGGACTCATTAATAAATTTTTAGAAACATTAATTTAAAATCATCTTTTGTGACGCTTGAAGGAACGTGAATATCTGGTATTTTCAACACCAAATATAAGCATTTATAAATATCGCAGGTTGCCTTTATGTAAACGCAAACATATTTAATATGCGAAAAATCATTTAAAATTCTGTTGACACTAGTAATTTAATATTAAGCCCACGATTTATGAAAACATGTATATATTTACTCCAATGACGCAACTCCTTACATTAATATTTCAAGCACACTTCATATGATTTTCAAGTGGGTCAAAAAGCTTAAACTGAAAGCAATTTTTTCATTGCCTCTGCACTAAAATGATATACAATGTAAAAAATCTTACCCTTTTGCTTAAACAATCCAGTATATTGTTCCAGTTGATTTTGTTTTAGCCAGATCTCTACTTCATTGAATTCCCCAGAAAAGAACTTTTCTCCGAAACCCGAAAGCAACGACAATACGTACGTACTACAAATAAAAACAAATAAAAGTATTACGACTGTTTTGGCACAACGACTCATACTATAGTATTAACTTAATTCACATTTTTAATGTTATTTAAAATTTAATAAACATGACATCCGAACGTATTCAGATGATGAGCCATGCCATTGTTGGTGTATCTGTCTTTGTTTTTATTATAATGTTTTTGACACCCTTCTACTGCTTTCGCCATCTATTAGAAGTGAACTAAAACTAATATAACTAATAATTTCGGAAATGCCTAAGGGTACAAGGTGTAGGTACATAAGCTATAATTTTACTTTAAAATCAGTTTATTTTGACGGTTCGATTTGCACTTTGGTCAAAATAAACTTAATATTTAAAATAAAATAGTGGCTTATTTCCAATAAAAATAATAAATTGTAATATGATGTCACAAGAAAATTGCTTCAAAACAATATGTCCATAATTTTGTTTGTTAAATTGGTCAATAAAATTTACATAAATACTAATTTTTAAATAATGTATAAAAGGTAGATGGTTTCTTAATTTGATCATTTTAAAATTATAGACTATCTTCTTATTTGTTGTCATTAACATCTCGACTCAGACTTTAAGTGAACTTTGATTACTGTTTTTACTTTTACAAATTAATATGAGATCAAAAAATATAGACGCATAAATATGCGTCTATACTCTTTGATGGTATCTTCAATTGTCTAACAGCTATGGAGTAGTATACACTGCATAGTTTCAAATCTAAAAGCAAGGAATACACCACTGATGTGGGTGGTGTATTCTTTCCTAAAAGTAACAAACATACTGATTTAGTCCATTTTAACAAGATATTTTGCTAAACGTTTATTTTCATTACATATATTTATTTTCTTTCCGTTTTGCGTCTTTTAAAATGTTATTGAACTTATCCAAATGCTCCAAATCTTTAAGTTAGCGCCACAATATCAGCAACTTTTTAATCACTTTAAAGATCTATAAATTTGTCAAAAATATGACATTGACATTAGAAATTCTGATTACAAACAAACCAACAATCAAAACAAATAGGTATACTTTTCAAAAAATTTTAAATCTGCAAAAAATGATGCGAAATGAAACCAGAATTTTATCTGATAAGGACCAAGAATTGTCTTTCAGTTCTTATGTGCAAATGGAAGATTTATTAGACAAGTTAAAATTATTAAACTATGAGTCTGAATTTTTAAGTGGCCTTAAAATTAAACCAATACACAAGTAGGACTATCGGTACCTAAATAAAGATTCTTAAAATATTTATTTCGATCATTTTTAGATATTACTTCATAGTAACCAAAAATCCAGGGGAACAATTTTATCTGTTTTCATTGTTAGCTGCATGGTTGATTAGGAAAAATGGAAAACCATTTGAAAATCCTCAGGAATTTGATGACCCTAATGAGACTATTGATAGGATTATAAATGAAGTGAAACAAAATGTAATACTTTATTCAAGTACTTAGAAATACTATTTTATTTACTAATTATTATTAAGAGGGTTAGAAAACTCTAGTTTACTTCTTGTAAGCTAGAGTTATATTTCTAAATAAAACTACATATAGTGAAAGGTAGAGTAGGAATTTTTTCATTGGTTGCTACCAAAACTTACAAGATAAATTTAACAAAATACAGTATACTCCCTCTATAACAAACACTGTTATTACAAGGTTTCGCTTATAATGAGATACATTAGATGTCCCGTGAAGTTTCTATTGATCTACAACTCTCTATTGCGAGGCAAATTTGGTTATAACAAGAGAAAATAAGATCGAAAATCTTTTTTTTTTTTTACCTTTTTGACCGGCCGTGGTTATTAAATACCCTTTTTACCTCCCCGCAATAAACTTCTTTACAATAAATACAACTGTTTCACATCTTTAGAAAATAGATAGATATAATGATACTGGGCAATTTAAAGCAGTCAAATATTACAGACTTCTTCCAATTGCAGAAGCAATGGTTTATATTATCCTTCAAAATATTTTTTTTTGTGTGTGTGTTTTGGCTTGGACAATTGTCATTCAGCCAGTCTCAATCAAGATAAGTTTATTAATGTAATGTTTGTGTGTGTAGAGTAATTGTCTTGATACTTAGCAAAGTAGACGTCATTGTCTTTGCTAAGAGACGCTAATTGTATCCGAACGTCTGCGGTCCCTCTGGTGAGTACCGATCACACAAGGATAGAAATTATTTTCATTTATTAATTTTTTTAATAAACAAAATTTGAACTCACGACCTTTAGGTTTAAAGGCAGGCGCTCTTACCACTGAGCCACAGGGGGGGTATCCTTCAAAATATGATTTACACATTATGTAGTTGGAAAAAAATGCAAGTACAGATTTTTTGTTTTAAGAGGGAGTCTACTGTATATATAATATATTGAGATTTTACTTACCTGAGAAAGTTTTCAAGTGCAACTCCAGTATTAAAACATGGTAGTGTATGTAAGAAGATGTTTATTTATTTACGCTTTCAAGAAATATTTTTTTTTTTTTTTAATTAAAATAATACAGTTTTAAATAATAGTCATAATTTTTGTGAATTTTACTGATTTTACTAGTCTAAATAAGTAATTTTTTAGGGTATGGCAGTTGATTTCTCTCCAATAAACTAAAACAAGGTGTTGGTGAATATGTGGTGGCAATACTTGACTACTTAACAAATATAGCGCTTACTAAAAACAACATCATACTTAAAAGGTAAACTAAAATTGCAATATATAATAGTACAAGATCCCACTGACTGTAGGATCGCTACATTTATAATGTAGTTTATGCAACTGAACATTTGAACTGAATTTATACATCAAGTAATTCTAATTTCAATAATAATTTTTTTTACTAGACCAAAACCACCTGAAGAGAAAGAGGAAGAAGCTGAAGTTTTAGATGACGAATCTGAAATAAATCTAGACAGAATCGAGGAGGAGATGATAGCTGCATATTCAGATGATTCTGATGAAGAAAATATATTTCGGTTAGATGAACTAAAACCAGCAAAGAAAGAAATACAAGTTACAGAATTGAAGTCAAATATTGACGAGGAAACTTGGAAATTGGAAGTAAGTAGTTAATGTTTATTTTTGTTAATTATTGAAAAGTATTAGACTTCTAAATGAAACTTTTTTGTTTTGAAGATTCCTTATTTGTGGTTTAAATACCATCTTCGTTACTAAGGGTTGGTAACAATAATAGTACACTGAGGTTTTCCTTTCTTTTTTTTTTCTTTGTTTCAAGATTTCTACAATTTTGTTATTCTCTTATATATTTTATGTATATGCTGTTTCTTTTATGGTGTAATTGGCTTGATAGCTTTGCAGCAACACCAGCTTCATTATGAGTAGTATAGTAGATACTTGATTCATGCTATATTTTAGTAACTAAATCCTTGTTTTTAATAAAAATATTTTTCAGGTGGAAAGAGTTTTACCAATGCTAAAAGTAACTGTCAAAAACGACAGCAGAGACTGGAGATCACACTTAGAACAAATGAAACAACACCAATCTACCATCGATAATACATTCGGTATTGCTAAAGGTCAATTAGAAAAATTACACAAAGAAATAACATCCACTCTTGATAAAGTGAGTAATAGAGAGAAATATTTCAACAGAGAACTAGAAAGCATTTTGGAAGAGTATCGCAGCCTACAAGACCAGCTTTCAAAATTGAAGGATACATACAAAAATGTAAGCACAGGAGTTGCGGAAAGAAACAGAGAACTTCACAAGTTGACGGAAAAATTAGAAACTGTTAAACAACAAATGGAGGAGAGGGGAAGTTCTATGACTGATGGAAGTGAGTATATTAATGTTTATGTTATGTATTCTTTAAATTTCGTTAAATATTTCAGTTCAAAAATTTTAAGATGTCGTAATTGCATAACTGTTGACTGTATATTAATTTTATTAAATCTGAAACCTGTGGTTTAGGAAATCTCACAAACATATCTCATTGTATTTACATCGACATAAGTTGTTTAATGTGGCACACTTTGTTCTGCATATAGGATCTTCATCAACTAAATTTTATTTCATCATCAATCATTCATGGTCGTCCTCTGCTTCTTGTGCCTTCTGGTTTTGAAAATGTTAATCTCTTTATGTAGCAATGTGTCCAGCCAATTGAAGTCTGCACTTTAATGAATTTCACAATATCTGGATCATTGTATAACTGATATAGTTTTTTTTTATTGGCTTTAGGGTAAATACCCACACAGCCAGACACAAATTTTTTAAAACCAGATACAAGGATTACACAGGGATTACACTCTTCTCGCCCAGGGGCTGAGCAGGGCATTTTTATAAACGATAAAAGGTAGGCCTCGGACAGATAGGTATGCATACATTAAGGAAAGACATCAGGAAGTAAAACTGATATAATTTAAAGTTGTATCTTGACGCCATAGCCCATTTTCATTTACGGACCCAAAAATCTTTCTAAGAAATTTTCTCTCAAAAATACCAAGAAGATGGCACTGTTTTTATTTATCCCTATTTTTTCAGTGATTATTAAAGAAATACACACTTTCATACATATGCTGATAGAATTTGTGCATTTAATACTCTGACATCATAGACAGGTTCAGTTGCTAACACATTATCAATTGGTTCCACTTCATTAACTTGTATCTAGTCACAGTGATCACAGTCAATCCAGTAATAACTTAAGATCTCTATCATAGTTAATTTGATAAAAATTACTATTAGCTAGCTAGAAATTTATAAATATGTAGTTTTGATATTTTGTATATTTAAATTCTTGGTTATGGAGCTCTATACTATTCTGATGTTCAGAAGTTCTTGACTTTCCCTTTATATTGCTCTTATTTTCCCCTGTAAATTTTATCTGCAGTTTCTAAAGACAGCTTATTCAGCATCAGTTTTATTCTGTTGGTTTGGATATCTTTGTTTCTCTTCTTCATTTGATTGTAGTGGTTCACCACTATAAATATTTTATCTACTACTTTACCTCTTGATAAAATGTTTATTTGTTTTAGCTCCTTTGGTGAACATAAAAAAATCTGTTGCCAAAGTAAAATCAGAAATCATAGACATGGATGTTAGAATTGGAGTTTTAGAGTGTGTGCTTCTACAGACGAAGTTAAGAGAAGAAAAGCAAATCGAGAATGAGTTTGGACAGTCCATTTCAGTTTTTTAAAATACATAGTCTTATATTTAGATATTATGTCCTAGTCAAAAAGACTGCACTTAATTTATTTATTGTTGTTAAATCACTTTGTTTAATAAATAATGGTTAAATATAGTTGTTTTTCTAAATAGGCATATTAAAAATAATATATATATATATATATATATATATATATATATATATATATATATATAATTAAAAAGTTCATTACATATCAATTAATGAGTGATGCCCATCAATGATGATGCCTTACATTTAGTTGTAGACAGACCTCTACTACTATACTCAGACTAATTTATTATACAGTAACAGCTAATTTTGGCGATAAATCTTTGGTTCAATGTATTTAAACTTTTAATTAAATTTAAATTTCATTTTTTATTAAAAATTTAATAATCATTTGGGAAAAAATAAATTGTAGTTTAATCATAATCAGTGGTACTACAAGCCTAATTGAGCCTCAACCTACCCCAGTCTATTTCAGTTTGTATGTGTGCATTTCAGCACTGTTTTCTGGCTTAAATTTTTAGCTGCTTGTTTAGCCCAAAATAACATTTGTTTGCTAGCAGTATCCATACTGTTGTTATGTACATAGTGAACTTTTCGAAATGAGTGGAATTAAACGAAAACATGTTGTAGTGTCAATGAAAGACAAGTTAAATGCTATAGAGCGGCTTGAAAAAGGTCATTCTGTAAAATTGATTAGTGACAAATTCCATGTGGGAGTGACAATCGTAAAAGACTGGCGCCGAAAGAAGAAAACCATTCAAGATTATTGCACTCAAATCGAGTCCTCTTGACTAGGTGTACTTTAAAGAAACCAATTAATGAACATGTAGACGATGCATTATGGTTATGTTTTATGCAAGAGGCGTACCTCGTAAAGGTACGCCTATAAGTGGCCTGATTTTAAAAGAAAAGAATGAGATACTACAGGGTAAGTTTGATAATAGAGGAAAATTTTATGCGGGCGATGGCTGGTTGGCATGCTGGAAAAAATGTCACAGTGTTAATTTTTTAAGTGTGTGAGGTGAAAAATTGTCAGCTGATCCAACTGCAGCAGACGAATGGAAAAATAAATAACAAGAATTAATTAAAAAGGAAGAAATACTGCCTGAACAGGTCTACAATATGGATGAGACTGGACTAAACTTTAAACAATTGCCTGTAAAAACATTTGCTGCCAGTAATGAGAAATCTGCTGCTGGATTCAAAATGAAAAAAGAGAGAATTACTATGGCTATTTGTTATAATGCCTCTGGAACTCATAAGGTCCCCCTGTTCATAATCGGAAAGGCTAAGAAACCTCGAGTATTCAAAAACGTTAATGTTTCTTCACTCCCAGTATGCTATAAAAATCAAAGATCGGCCTGGATGGACGCGTACATGTGTTTAAAGATTGATTTACAATGGATTTTGTCCTAGTGTAACAAAATATTTATCAATCTTAAAGTTACCTGTCAAGGCTATTTTGGTGTTGAATAATGCACCAACACATCCTGAAAACATTCAGAGTGAAAAGGAGCCTGGTATAAAATGTATTTTTCTTCCACCAACTGTAACAAGTATCATCCAACCAATGGATCAAGGAGTGATCGAATGCCTTAAGAGGCGCTATAGGAAAAAACTACTTTCAGAAATTTTGGCTAAAATAGTTTAGATAACAAAGGCCTAATCGGTTCTTTGAAAGACATAAATATTAAAGACGTTATTTTGATGGTGTCTAAAGCTTTTAACAAAATACAAAGTTCAACATTCGTAAATCTTGAAGAAAAGCATGGTCTAACATAGAAAAAGTGATTGAACCCGATTCTAATCCTGATGAAACCCCTTTGGAAGAGCCAGATGATATTGCATCTTTGATAAATAACTTACAAAGACTCTCATACTTGAATCATATTCAACTGCAGAATTGTCAAGAATGGATTTGACTGATGATGACTTGACCAATGACAATTTGACAGATGAAGAAATTGTACAGGCTGTTATGCACGAACATCAAGCAAGCGAAGAGGTTGAAGATGAAGAAGGCAATACTGTTAGTCAGGCTGATGCAAGAAATGCTCTACAACTGGCTTCACTGTACATTGAGCAACAAAATATGTCAACAGTGGAAGATGTAATGTTCATTAAAAAGTGGCGTGACTATGCATTCAAGAAAACAATGGAATATAAAAAACAAAAAATCACAGAGTTTTTCTAGTACATATGTACACATGTTTGTACTTATATACAAATATGTACATTCTATACAAGTTTCATAATTTGTCATGTGAGTGATATTGTTAATTATATATAAGGTAAGTAATTATATATAAAGTACATACTACTTTTTTGTTTGTAGATCATAAAATATATACATTTTTAATAGAGTTACATATGTAATGTCTTTCTGAGGGTGGTTTTAAAGATTTTAGGTTTAAATGACTTTTTGATTATCTGACCTATGGCCAGGTCCCTTCATGGTCGGTTAAGAGGTCTTCTACTGTATATCAATTCAAGAAATGAGCAAATCTATATAAAATACTTAACTAAATACTGTTTAATATGTCAAAAAATTTTATTTTAATTGATATATTACTTATGTCATAAGATTACTATAATTATATGTTTAATTTGTTATTGCAACATCTTGTTTGAACACAAACTCTTCATGATAACTATCATCAAGAAAACAACTATTTTCACAAGTATAAATGGCTAAAATACCCCAATCTAAAGCATTTTCTTTTAATTGAGACAACATCTGTGGCATAATTTGAAACTCAAATTGTCTTTTACCCTTGCACAGTTCACAATCTGGTATATTTTCTGGAACAGGTTCTATGGAAATCCACAATGGTTGACCACCTCTCCGATATCTTATCACCTGATCAGGATTATGTTTCACTCTTTTTTGAAACTTGGAAAATACCTTATCACTATCAGTAACTGCATGTGATTCTAAATCTTCCTCAGGGATGTCAGCCATTGAGCCTATCTTTCCATCAATCTCTAATTGCTTAAATTTTTCCAATTCTTCTTCTTCTGTAAAACATTCAGTATCTATCTCTTCAGGTTCAATCACAATTTCCCATTCTTGAAATAAAATCTTTGACTGTTTCCAACTACGACTATTAGGAATATTTTCACTACTGTCATTGCATTCAGTTTTGTGACCTTCTTTCCAATCTAATATTTGATGATGTCTAGTGCAGTAGTGAACCTTCTTACACTTACTACATTGTTTTTCAGCTAGGCAACCACATAAATTACATAATGTAAGCCAAGTGGCTAATGAGAAACTAGGCTGTGGATTTTCATCTGGTGGATCATAGGGATAAAATTTATTAGCTCTTCTTAAATTACTTCGAAACACTTTTATATTATCACTATTGTTCCTTTGACAACATTCAACATTTCTACATATAAATACAAATATTGCTCTGTGAAAATTATTGATAAAGTTCTTATGCTCTTCTTCATAGGGAGCATAAACTTGGCACAAAAATATTAACGGTTCTCGACATTTCTTACACTGAAGATGTTCAGTTGATGGTAGTTTCTGTAAATTCAACCAAGCTGGTTTTCCTCCAACTTTGCTAGGAAACAAACGACTTTCTACTTGCCATGGCTGACAATTTTCAAGAAAACCAAGCTCTACGTCTTGTTCAACCATCTTAAAAAGTATATATCTATACAAAACCAACAAATATAAAATCTATATTACTTGACAAAACTCATTAAATATTGTAAGTAAGGTTATGATACATGACATTTTACAACGTGTGCTACAGCACACTTTCACCTAGCAATGCCAGTTCTGTTGTTCCGTGTTAACGAGTAAAACGACAATTGACGCAACGCCTAGTGCCAGGGTGCGTAACTATATATTTATATATACTTCATCTAATTTACTTACCATTGCACGTCATTAGCATTGACAGAGATCGAAGTTCACATAGTTGCCAAAGCATTAAAAAAATTCTGACTCCATTCTAAAACAAATAGGTCACATAATTATTGCAAACGCATGACCATCTCTTTACAACGACTATTTAAATTCTTATGTGACATTTTTGAAATAAAAAGTATTTAAATAATTTTGTTATTCTAATGTCAAGTTTTATGTGAATACAAGCACCGAACAACATACAAGCCTGATCTTGGTCTTCTTACTTGGTCGTGGTAAAAAACTAGGATAAAAACAAACTCGGAACGGCTGTTCTTTTAATGCTACTATGTATAACTTTAATTGTATCCTCCTCTTTACAATTGACTAGAACATATATTAAAAATTGGGGCAATAAATAGTTTCTGTCTTCTCTAATTAGGGCTCTTAACACGTTGCCTGCCGTCTCAGAAAAAAATTACCCTGCACGCCAGCGAGGTCTATTTGGCCAAGAATTTTTATATGACTGGTGCCGAGACCGAGACGTTACATTAGACAGTACATATATTGAAATTGAACTTAAAAAATTTTAAACATGAATCATTACAGGCTATATAAAGGTACCTCTGCGCACCGTGAGAGGTAATTTTTTCGACCATATAGCAGAAATGGCCTTGTCTTGAACGGAAAGTATTACAAATTCCTCTATGACACAGGCAACGTGTTAGCAGTATTCACGTATTTGTCAAACATATCCATATAATTTCGTGGAATTAAAAAACGGTATTGCTTGCTAGTAGTATCAATGCAATCTATAACACATATTATTTTTTATTCAGTTCTTCGATTTTCCATTGTTATTCCATGTTTTATGTTCGATTCCATAATTAAAATTCGTCGATGCGTGGAGGTCAATGATGTATAATATATATACGTCATTGATATACGTCAATATAATATACGTCATTGGTGGAGGTAAGGTGGTTTCGGTTCAAGGTTAGTAAACAACCTGTCTATTTTTAATAACCTTGGTTTCGATACGTCATTGAGTTTATCGAAAGTACAAGCTGAATATAGCCGCAAATGTCACAAATCAGTTACGTGACTAGTAGGGTCACCAAACGGAAGGGTGCACAAATAAAAACGTGGTTTACCTTGGCTTATGTATTTATTTATCCATGTGTCATTCACAGATCTAAAGATTTGTTTTGTGACTTGTTTTATTTGTATTTACAAATCAGCAATTTAAATCTTTTTTGACACTTGTTTATTTATAAACCATATAATTATTTATCTATGTTTATAAACAATCAAAACTGTAGATAATATTATGTTATCATTTGATTGATAAATATGTAAATAGTATTTAGAATATTTTATAAACGCAGTACCCAAGCTTTTATTTAACCATTAGTTGACGTTACCATATAAGATTGAGTGTATTTTTCTATGAAGAAATTTGCGGTTTTATTTTATTAATGATTTATTAAAATTGGTTATAAAAAAATGTGGGGGAAAATATTCCTTTGTTTTAGTTTTATACAAGTATGTTTTTCAGTTTATTATTATCAACCGCAACAAATTCACATTGCCTATGGAGATAATATTTATGATATTGTGGTAACTTGGTCTACCTTTGATGACACAAAAAAGTCGTTAGTTGAATATGGTATAGGAGGTTTAGTTCTTACAGCTGAAGGAACATCGTCATTATTTGTAGATGGGGGTTCACAGAAGAGGTCACAACATATTCATAGTGTAGTCCTAAAGAACTTAACACCAGGAAGTACTTATCGTATGTATTGTTTTCATTTGTAAATTCAACTTTATTTTTATTTCTGTTTTGCAGAGTATCATTGTGGAAGTGACTTGGGATGGTCAAATATATTTAGCTTTAAAACTGCTCCAAATTCGTCAGACTGGCAGCCGCATTTAGCTATTTATGGAGACATGGGCAATGATAATGCTCAATCTTTAACTAGGCTACAAGAAGAAACTCAGAGAGGATTGTATGATGCCATTTTACATGTTGGGGATTTTGCATATGATATGGACTCGGTAAGATTGACAAATCTATCATTATGTACCTTAGACTTATATCGATTTTTTTTAAAATGAAACTTAAAAGCTTTTTTTCATACATCGAATTAAAATATTGGCATTTTACTCAACTAACGTAATCATATAATTCTTCTGCTCGTAGTATTAGACCCTATTCTGTAGTTTTAGCTATAATTTTTATACACTTCTATTGTAAAAGTGTTGATTTTATAAAACTGTGGAAAAAAAGTCTTTTTGATAATTCTTTTACCTAAGAAAAATATGTTGTTTTTTAATATTAGCACTGTTTTTTAAAACTATCAATGAACTATTGGCAAACACATTCACTTTCATTTGGTTTTCTTTTTTCTCTAATATTTTGACATTGAACTCTTCCATAGAACTTTATACTCCCCCATTTTCGTGGTGTAAACCTGAATTTTTTTTTCATGTATACTTTTTAAGTACAATTAACCCTCATCCAGATACTTATTTTTTCTGACTTAGTAGGACGGGGTGTGTCTGTCAGACACACAGTGACAATATTATGGTATTTCATGTTATAATTAATAAAATATGTATTAATTCTTTTGAATTTTTAGTTTTAGCTAGTAAAGTAATAATTAGTAAGTGCTCAGTCTATAAAAATTAAAAAACAATGCAAGCCTTAAACTATAATTCTAAAGTATCTACAATGATATCGTCGCAATAACCGCAATATGTCGTAACCCACAAATTTTTTTTTTTTCATTATTGAAGATTTTAATTCTGCTATTGAAGACACATGTTTCTGCAAAATATCGTAAGCCCTAGAATGTTCCTTATTTTTCTATTAATATTTAAGTAATACGTCGGAAGTCACAATGCATTTAAATTACCAGCGTAATTTGTTCAAAACCACAATTAATATTTAAGTAATACGTCGGAAGCGACAATGCGCATAAATTACCAGTGCAATTTGTCCAAACCCACAAAACCGTTAAAATATACGTGGCTTACGACAGATTGCAACAACGTGACAACGTAGTATTATTTTCACAGTTGAAGTAAACCTACAACACTCTGTAAAAGTTTGTTATTTTTTATTGTTTATTTAGTAATTAGTACTAAATACAGTATTGAAAGTATTGTGTAGCTCTTCTAATATTAAGGTAAGTAAAAAACAGTCTGATAATTAGCAACTGGGCGTGTAATTGCATCATTTTACTCTTCTAACCTATACTATAATCAAGATGCAGTAGAAATAAACAAACGAGGACACGTTTAATGATACTAGGAACACTCCCGAATCATAATTTACAATGTATAAACTTTGGAAACCATGATTTGAGATTTACAATGTATATACATTGTAAACTATGATTTGGGAGTGTTCCTAGTAGCACTTAAGGTGTCTTGGTTTGTTTATTTCTACTGCATCTTTATTGTAAATTTAGTATAACTTATAAGGTTAATTTTTTATTTTAGAGCAAAATGAATAGCAGAAGTAGACGCATACTTGCGTTATGTGATATGGAGGACACCGTTATTCAATCGAACACTGAAAGCAATTTGGTATGTAGTATTAACTGTGTTACTTATCCTGTTCAAAATCATTCACACAGTGAGTGTCAAGCAGATGACCTAACAATTCCTCTTGATCTTGGTAACGAGGAAAATAAAGAAAATAATGGTTTTACTCTGACTCTTCCTAGTACAACCCATGCTGATGACCAGTTAAATTATGCTATGTTGTTAGACCTTGATGATAATGTAATTACATATTCAAAAAATGTGCAAGAGAACTTAGATTCTATTAAGCTAACGAATGAAATACAATTACTAGACCCGGACGGAGTTAAAAACAATCAAACCATGTTTTTCTTAAATGACGGAATTCAAGTTGAGGAAATAGTGACAATTGAAAGTACATTTGTTACTCAAGAGAGCAATTGGGAATGCAGAGATAGCTCTGATGAAAACATTGATGATAATGTAATTACCTGTTCAAAAAATCTACAAAAGAACTTAGAGACTGTTAATGCACAAAATGAAGTACAATTATTAGTAGAGATGGACGTAGTTAAAAATACGTCAGCCGATGAAAAAAATCAAACAGAGTTGGCCTTAAATGATGGAACACAACTCGAAGAAGGAGTGACAGTCGAAAGTACATCTGTTGCTCAAGAAAACCATGAAGTTATCAACGAAGAAGTTATAAAAAGGAAAAGAAAACAAAGGGCTGTTAGGTCTGAAAAATCAAAGTGGCATTGAGCTGTTAATAAAAAACTTAGATTAGAAGGTAAGGAATATATAGGCTATGAAAGAAAAGGAAAAATAATAACCCATAACAAGCCAAGAACAAATAAAAGTATTGGACCCCGTTGTACGTCTGAATATTGTAAGAAATTCCAAAAATGTCACAAGATAAATGAGGATCAAAGGCTGGAAATTTTTCAACGATTCTGGAGAAAACATCATGGGAGCAAAGGCGAGTATACATAGCTAACTTAGTAGAGACAATCCAACCCAAACGTCGATACACAACATCAGATCATTCGAGACGAGGACAAACATTTATATACACGCTTAAATTGGAGAATGAAAAATTTCCTGTGTGCAAAAAGATGTTTCTCTCAACTTTCTCTATTGGAGAGAGGTCTGTCCGTGATTGGGTGATCAATAGTAAACACGGAATGGCTGAATCTCAAGAAGTCAAGAATTCACTTCGCAAAGTATCTAACAAGAAACTGGAAGACAAAGGTATATTAGAAACATTTTTAGACGATTTACCAAAGTTACCGTCGCATTATTCTAGAAAGAACAATTCAAAATTTTTTTTAGAACAATGTTTTGACTCTTTATCAAAATTATACTCAGTATACTGTGAACACGTTAAAAACAAAGGAATAATACCCTTAAGTAAAACCAAGTTTTCAATTGTTTTCAAAGATAAAAACATGTCATTACATACTATCCAAAAAGATAAATGTGACACTTGCACAAAATATGAAGTAGGAAATATTACCGAAGATGTCTGGAAACAGCATGTAAATCGGAAAAATCGAGCTAGAGAAGAACTGGAGAAAGACAAAGTAGATGCTGTTAACAAAAAAACTAGACTTATTCAAATGGATTTACAGGCTGTTAAGGTGGCCCCTTCCATACAATCAAGCTCAGCATACTTTAAAACAAAATTATGTTGCCATAACCTGACTGTGTATGATATCGCCACTAAATATACGGTATGTTTTTGGTTTAGCGAAACTGACACTGACTTAAAAGCATCGACATTTGCTACAATATTAATTCGTTACCTGCAAACCCACTGCCAAGATGACGACGAAATTTTAATTTATTCCGATGGCTGCACGTATCAAAATAGAAATTGTATAATGGGAAATGCTCTGTTAGATTTTGCGATAGATCATAAAAAAACCATAATTCAGAAATATCTCGAAGTTGGACACACTCACATGGAGTGTGATTCTGTTCATGCGAATATTGAAAAGAAAGTTAAAAACAAACCAATTTTTCTACCAAGCTTTTATTTGACAGCTACCGAAACTGCAAGATCTAAGCCTATGCCTTATGTTGCCAAGTGGATGAACTATGATGAATTTATTGACTACTCCGATTCATCAAAATATCGCTTCAAGTCACTTCGAGCAGGTACGAACAAAGTTGTTGACCTAAGAGCAATTAAATACACTCCAGGAGGGGAGGTACTTTACAAAACAAATTTTGATCACGAGTGGCAGATATTACCTCAAAGGATGATTCAAGTTGCAGCACCCATCACTTGGAACAAGCTTAATAAAGAACCAAGAAAAATATCTGCATCGAAATTCAAGCACTTACAGGAGCTTAAACCAGTCATTCCCAAAGACTGTCATGCTTATTACGACAACATACCTCACTTTACGTAATGATAATCGTCTTACTATTACATCGTTTATTATAATTTAGTAAATAAAAAATTCTCCTACAAACTACCAGTAGTTTTTATTAAACCAGATTTCATGACACAGGACTTGCCTACTTTAGATACAATGAGATTAAGGCAGAATGAATGGTGAAAGGTGAAACAGACAAATGAATGGAAATAGGGGAAGAAAATTCCGTTTAAATTATATGAACAAAATAAAAGCAATTTTAATTATTTTCGTCTGTTCTATACATTAAATAAATATAGCCGAATTATGTAGTAATATGTCGTAATCCACAGAATTAGTCCAAATTGTAAAATTCAATATGTCGTAAGCCACCGTTAACCAGAAAAAAGTAATAGAACTAATTAAAATGTAATAAAACATTAATCTAGCAATGAAATAACTTTATACATATTAATTACATTTTCTTAAATTTGCTTTAAATGACATAAAACAGTTTTTTCCTTCTCCTCTAAAATTAAGTGTTGGTGGGTTACGACATAATGCGGTTATTGCGACGATATGACGTTTTATTACTTTCTTAGGCAACTAACACACTCACATTTTACACTACTGTGCTTGTTGCCAACATTCTTGCTGCAACTATTACAAGTTTGTTTCTGTATTCTTTTTCGATGGACAAAACTAACATTTTTTCTGTGTTGACTGAGGTGTGGCACTTACAGCATTTGCTTCTCCTACAAAGTTCGCCATAAGGAATCTGGTTGTATTAGACAGTGCTATGTTCAATCTGTAGATAATATGAGGCTATATAAGTAGTTTTGCTGTCAATTATGAATAGTTCAAAATATTGAGTTGTTGCCTCCAATAAGTTTACTTTAAAGTAGACAAAGTCCTAATTTTTGAGGTAATAATATACTATGATTTTTTAAATATACATTAACATATCTATAAGTGTGTCTGATGGATACATCTTTTCCGGATACATGTTGATCTAATTAATGTAATATTGCACATTAGCTAATTTTTATCTTTGATATATTTTAAAATTGGATTATATCAACATATTGCACTCCACTGAAGAAGTCTGTAGCTGTAAGCTTCACATTTTAAAATTAGTTACAAATATACAGGATCCTCCATAAGGCTCTACTGCATCAATGATATGTTTTTTTAATGAATTAATTTTAGAGAATTATTTAATAGGCCATTTCTTGTTTGATGAACAAGTAAACGGAGAGATTTATTTAGACTTTTTAGTAAATCATTTACCCATTTTACTGGAAAATGTGTCACTTAACAATTATTGTATTTGAATGATGCAGATCCTTCTCATCATAACACACTTATCCAAGGTGAATTAAATGAGCAATTTCCTAACAGATGGATAGGACGAGGGACTAACTCATTGGCCAGCTAGATCACCAGAATTATGTAACTATTGACTTCTTCTAGGGCTGTATTAGAGATGTATTGCACCATGAACCTCCAGCAGCAATTTAGGACATGAAAGTCAGAATTAAAAACGCGTTTCATAATGTTACAACACTACAAATGCATACAAAATTATGAAGATCATTTGAAAACTGTCTTGAAATCTTGTTTTTAAGGGAGTTTATTTCGAACACCTGCAATGAAAATATGAATTTTTTTATTTAATTTTTTTATCTATTTTTTTATGTTGTCTTAAGATTTGATTATCATTTGGCATGACATGGCCTCAACATGACCTTGTTTTTGTACCACTTTTTAATTATACAGGGTGTTTCAAAATGGTATGTCATAAATTAAATTATGCATTCTGGGGACAAAAATAAATTGATTGGATCCAACTTAGCTTAGTACAAAAGTGTACACAAAAAAGTTACAGCCCTTTGAAGTTACAAAATAAAAATTGTTTGTTTGAATTATCCCCCAAACTACTTGACGTTTGGTAATAAAAATGGACATGTTGCTTTCTCTGAAAGAATTTTTTATAAAAAAGAAACAACAAAATCTAAGCACACAGAAAAATTTTTAGGATGTGTGCAGCCGTAAATCACCCAAACTTTTGAGTACGTTCAAATCAAATGAATTTTGTGGCATATTTAGTTTAACACATTATTTTAAAAATTTTTTTGCTTCTTATCACTTTTTTCAAAAAACAGTTTTTATTGAGTTACGTCCTTGAGCCCTTTTCATTAACCTTTAAAAAATTACGTGCAACTAAATAAATGGCATTAACAAGAAGTACAAAAATGTCTATAACCTCTCTAAATATGATATTACAATAAATGTTCAAAATGACCCCCATTTTCTTTAATACACATTAGGTATCGTTTTAATAAGAAAAACCGATTGCGCTGAAAAATCATATTTTTCTGACGAAATTGATTTGCAGATTTAATTATTCCAACCCTCAATTGCTACGTCTTCTATTGTTACGGAATACACTTTCTCTCTCATAAACTCCCAAAAGTAAAAGTCCATGGGGTTAAGACCTATACTTCTGGGTGGGCAAGAAATAGGTGCGTCATGATCCCTTCCAATCCACCGACCAGAATACTACTTGTGTAGCATTTGCAATTCATTGATTTTTTTGGTGTATATTGAAATCCAGTCGTATATGTAATATATTGAAATCCCCTCATATATGTTTGAAAAATCTTTTAATGTATCTTTCGTTCATATTGTTTAATTTAAAACCCAAATAATATTTCGTTTTTTTTCAGCGTCGCCAAGTAATAAAAGCCATTTTAGAGTAGTTGATTATTTTAAAGTTGTGTACTTTCTCGGCATTTTCTTTTAATGTTTTATTCGAAGTCGCCTTATAATTCTTATACGTCGTGGAAATGGAATTTTTTACGTTTTAATTTTCGTTGTGTTTTGTTATTTCAGCGTTTGTTTATTTTCAAGTTAAGTGAAAGAATTCTTAAGAGAATTTCGTCATTCTTACTTGGGTCGAGGTAGGCTCAGGTCACCGACTCAGTATGGATCCAAATTCACCTTTGAATTTGTAGTTTCCGTTTTTGGCCCCTCTTTGTGGAATTGTGTAGCAGTGGAAAGTAAATTGTGAAGTATGTCTAGTTACAGAGGAGGTTAAAAAAAGGTATTTAAGAGAATTGTGTCGCCTGCAGCAATTCTGATGTTCCAGTTGAAGTGCTTCTTCAATCTCGCTGTTCCTGCTTTGAAGCAGTTTGTTTAGTTCCAGTTAGTTGCAGTTATGGTTCCAGAACATTTAAAGTGTGATTTGGTGAATTAAGGTAACTTCTGTTTCAAATTTTGAAGTAGACAGACTTTTTTTTAAATAATAATTGCTTTCTTTAAAATTCAAAAGTAGTAATGTTAAATATTGTAAATTTGGGTTTTGAG